TTGGTGAAATTAAGGAATGCTCATTTACCATGAAAATAGTGATGGAATAATAAGACTCTGGCAATGCTTTGTCTGTGAGAAATTGGTTCTAGCGTGGGAAAATAATTCCTCACTCACAAGCCTGCGTAAATGCTTTTGAATTCTTTCAAAGCTGGAATTCTTTCAGTCTAGATATGGCAACAATGCGCCATTTTCTGTTTGATCTGACTCTTGTAAATGGTTAAAAATCACCTTATGAATAATCCCTTCTAAAATGATAAAAATTTATCCTGATAAATATGGTGCCTGGTAGGTACTTTCCTGAGATAGTGCATGGAATCGACCATTTTTTCCAGGAACCGACCATTTTTGCAGGATCTTCAGCAATGTTTCGTATATACGCGTTCCACTTGAAGTCTGAGGTTAACTTCAGTCCCAATAGACATTCAAGGCAAAGAGTCACGTTGAAAGTACTATCGTTCATCAGGACTGGGGATAATTTAGGCTTACTCGGTGATGATAACAGGTTACTAGCTTGATTCTGGTGGTAGTAAATATCGGTTTTTCCCCCAGTGAGCTGTGAGGACTAACTCAGAGAAGAGATCAACTGTCGGGCTGTAGTTATTGAGGTTTTGAAGACGCAACATTTGGCATCATCTGCATAGATATTTACTAATGAGCTGAGAATGTTCTTAGGTAGATCTTTAATATAAAACAGAAAGAACTGAACGTGTTTAAAGTTGTTTTTTTCGTATTCATGTCTATATAAACTTCATATGAATTTTATGAGAAGAGTCCTTTTGGTAGAATTATTAGATATGGTTCTATGTAGTCAACTAAGCTTATGACATTGTATACTGTATATTTTCTGTGTTGTGTTCAATGTAATATGAGGTTTGTTTCCCGCACATTCTATCTCTAAGGCATCCTGTGGCATAAAGATAAAAGAACATAAAGTTTACATAAAAATAAAATATTACCTTCTATACATAATCATTTTTTTCACGTGACATTATTACAAATAATCAGTTATCTCAAAATGTTTAGCTTTTTTTCTTCTTCCATAAAAAATAATTATCATTTCTAAGTTTTCTCGTCTACAGTCACTTTCTTTCAGACGCGCCGTCGCCTCTCTCTGTCTGTTTTACAAATACTTTCATGGCGATTGCTCTGAGGAGCTGCATTCGCTGGTTCCCAGAATCCATGAGTTCAAGCGCCCTACGAAGCTGGCACCCCGCTCTCACCCCTTCACTGTCGAAACTCCTAAATGTAGCCGTCTTTTCTACTCCAATAGCTTCATGTCTCGCACCTCTCGCCTGTGGAACTCCCTTCCCTATTCCAGTTTCCCTGAGAGCTATAATCTCCAGCTATTCAAATGTAATGTCAAATGACATCTCCAGTTGTCTTGATCTATCCACTACCCTTCTCCTCATCCTTTCTTCTATCACTCCTATTTGATCTTGCTCCAAATTTTCTGTAACCCCTTGCGTCCTCGTGGCTTCCCACTTTGCTTGAGGTGAAAAGATTAAAAAAAAAAAAGTAAACGTGAACCTTTAAAAAATTGAATACGACCACCATTGTATTGTTTATTCATAGTGGAAATAACATGCCGTTCTTTCACAAAATGTAAACTGTCGATTGCAAGGTCATAGAAAGTTGTGTATTATTATTATTGCTGCCTTTTGTTCTCTTTATTTTTCTTTCATTTATTCACTTGTGGAGTTCTTTGCAACTTGACCTAGAAGAGACGACGATAAGTAGAGGCTTGTTTTTCAGCACATACTGGATAATTCCAAAGTTAGATTCCGGAGAGTTACATAGCATCAAGAAAATTCTTTTCACGTTGAAACTGAAACTTTCTCTACATCATAATGATGTATTTAAAGACCATTTTAGAAAAAAAATGAGTCTTTACAATACACCGAGAACCTTAAAGTAAATTATTAAGTTGTTTTTATTAAAAAAAAAAGTATTGAACATATGGAGTACCTGTTAGGGTCCCAGCTATGGGCAAAATTTAACCCCCAAATATGAGTCAAGATACTATGAAAGTGTAAAAATAGGTTTTAATACCACAAATATTTTGTAAAAGAATTATTACCCGGAATAGATTTTTGAAGGAAAAAAATATTATCAGTAATACTTAAAAAAAAAAAATATATATATATATATATTAACTGCAATGCCAACAGCTATAGATTTTATATTGTACCCAGTTCAAAATCGTCACCGTACTTCCAGGGTTTTGTAATTTTCTTTTCACACACACACACACGCGCGCACAAACGTGCAGTACACCATACATATCCTATATATATATATATATATATATATATATATATATATATATATATATATATATATATATATATATATATATAACGGGTGTAACAGAAAATTTGTCCAAATTATGTAACAGCATAATTATCCATCCCACAAAATGTTTAATATCTAAAAAAAAAACACTAAACTAATGGAATTTCTTTTTTCCAGGTTTTCAGATAAAACGCTTAGCCATCTTGACACCATTTGTCGTAGGAATCACTGGAAAACCCTTTGTGTTACTCAGCTAAAAAGAAAGCCAGTTAAAATTGTTCTGTGTCAGACTCACTGTCTTCCAAAATAATTAATGGCGAAAGGAAAAGGATCATTCAGGCCTTCAGTAATGGTACCAACATTCATACTCTGGCTTCCATCTTCAAAGTCCATTTAAGAACTATCAACAGAACAGTGAATAACTTTTAAAAAGTGAACTGTAGAGATTCTTTTATGATCGTTTTCATCACGGTTCTTCTGTTAATCTTGTAGAGTAATTTTATATTCCTATTACTCAAAATAAAGTCCAATAGTGTTATAAAAACCTTGGAGAATTCCAGTAGGGTATTTTAAATTATTTCTAAGATACAATGGTTCAGAGCTTAATCTAACAATTAGACAATTTTGCTGTTACACGATTTGGACAATTTTGCTGTTATACACGGCACACACACACACACACACACACACACACACACACACACACACACACACACACACACACACACACACACAGACATATATATATATATATAGCGAGAAAGAGAAAGAGAGAGAGAGCGAGAGAGAAAGAAAGAAAGAAAGAAAGAAAGAAAGAAAGAAAGAAAGACGCTCCTTTTGTTCTGTAAATTACACTGAGGATTATAAGGCCACATTTCTCAACAAAACTAGTCTTCCACAGCAAGTTAGGCTATATAGAATGAAGTTGATAGCGCCATGCTAGATCTCTTTGGTTCACGATTTTTTTTCTTACAGTACTTCGTGTTCTCAAGCGCCCCCCACACCACCATTTAAGTACTGACCAGGCTTGATAATGCTTCGGTGATCAAACGCGAACCGGTGTTTTCCATCAGAGAAACCATTTCTGTAGCCGAAACTTGCCTTTACCAATTCGGCTACGGAGGCCGCATTCATAGAAAAGCACTTTTCGGCTATAGAAATATTTTCCCTGGTAGAAAAATAAGATAATGGTTCGATTCCTGTGTAATCTTTCTTCAGTACGGCTTTTCAATCTAGTTATTTTCATTGTTTAAGGAAATAATAAGCAATCCAAATACGTGTACCACTAAGAACAACGTTTATCATAATAACAAATAATGTTAGATTAAAAAAGTCCATTCAAAAATTTATGTTTGAATATATAGAATGAGCTGCATTAAATTCTGTTTCATGTACGTATGTATTAATTTTCTCTGCGTCGTTTTCTTTAATATAATAGTTAAGCGTGCTTTGTCAATTGTATTTATCAGTTTCTATACGTGTGCGAACGTTGTGTTCAAGAGGACGAACATACCCACCTTCAAATGATTAGTAATTCTTTCATAGCACTGTTGCCTAATGAAGCGACTGGTTACAAAATTCTTTCATTAACATTTTTTTTTAAATCGACAATAAAAATAGGGAATAAAAAATTGAATTAAATGTTCTTTTTTGTTGGGGGAGCACTATGTTTAAAAGAACCTAACACTGTTTCTTTTTTTCTTTAATAACATTAATATCTGTCTAAGGTCATTTCTTTTATGCTATACAGTTGGCTCGTTAACACATACAGAACAGATTTTTAATGATTAAAAAAGAAATGAAGGGAGAGAAATTAATTGTTAGAAATGAAGCGAAAGCAGACAGTCAGTCTTTAGTCATAAAAATGCATAGTTCAAACAGACATGTACCTTAAAACCTGCGATGTTAAATAGTAAAAGAGAGATTGGTCCGGTGAAAAGAATTTATTTCTTTAAGTACAGCTTCTCTCATTTAAATTCATATGTCACAAAATATGTTAAACTTACTGAAGTTGAATCAAGAAAGTTTTGCCTGCATTGTGTTGGATCAAAGATATTTCGTATGATTCACTTGGCATGTAACTTTATAGTCATAGAAATTAAAAAGAAGAAACTAAATCTCCCACACATATCATTAATGCTTATTCAACTCAGATTTTCTTAAATCAATGTCGGCGAGGCTTTTGTGCTTTCTCCAAACGTGGATACTTCATTCTGACAAGGTGGTGAGGTACTTATATATCTACGTGTCATCTGGCTTGTCCCAACTTCTGATACATATCAGGGCAGACACTGACGTCTATTGAAGGCGCAGATTTGCACCTGGTGGCTATGAAGTAAACTTTCAGGACAAGCTGCTGATGCAATTGACTTCAGTAAGTGCAAAGCTCGTTTTGGTAAAAGGCAGATAGAAGGCTGTATAAAGATGAAAGATTCTGTACTGCCAATTTGATGTACCTAGACTATTTACCTGTTTTAGAATGTCAACATACAAAATTCAGCTCGCAATGGATATTTCGTAATTATCTCAGCCACCAATCAGTGTACAACATTTTTCAACAATAATCATCACATAAGTACATAGATTTTACAGGCAGAACGAATATAAGAAGGTTGGTTACAGATAAACATGGCACTACTTAAATAGACTGGTCCATTCGTAAAAAAATAGGGAAAGATTTTCTGAAAATAATTTTTACTGTTTAGTATCTATCTATCTATCTATCTATCTATCTATCTATCTATCTATCTCGGTCTGTTCATATCTATCTATCTATCTGTCTATCTCGGTCTGTTCATATCTATCTATCTATCTATCTATCTATCTATCTATCTATCTATCTATCTATTTTCAACTTCATAATTACAACGTTCACAATATTGTCTCTGGTGCCAGTTGTCATTGTTCAAATCACACCAACTCAGATATTTCGGACGTCGATTTTTCAAAGCAAGCTTGCAGACAGCCGTTACAAAATCTTGCCAAACATACATTTGTGAACTAAGAAATATCGGCCTGATTCTCTCATGGCATATAACTCAACTGATATTCCCTTGGGAAAGGTATGAATCCTCTTCTTCTCTCCCCAGCTATGGGTAAATAGCAGGGCAGACCGGGTTCTATAGCCTTGCACCTGATCTACCACAGAAAGAAATAGCAACCTACGGCGGGAAAAATCTGTCTCGTCAGTCATGTATCGAAAGATACATGATCGCCTAAGCGTGTATGACGCATTGCACATAAATGTAGTGTGAAATTTCATTAAAATGAGAAAAGGGATTCTTGAGCTACGGCCATTTTTCTGTTTTACAGCATTTTTAATATGAAATTTAAGGACAAATGGCACAGTGGATGAAGGCGTTAGTTAGATCCAGTGACAGGACCCAAACAGTGTGAGTTTAACACCCGGTTAAGGGAGTGGATAACTTTCAGAGGGGAATTAACAGGAGATAACTGATAAGTGACATCCATTAAACATGACACATGGAACTAGAACAGTCTACCCCAATGAGCGAAATAAAGGGTTCAGTTCGGCATTCCAACCAACTGAAGAAGGCCGAAGCGTACAACGGCCGAAACGTTGTAATAAATATGGCAACAAAGATGAGCACAATAGTCTGAAAAATGTAAATAATGTACATAATATCTCATCTCAGAAATACAGACGGATAATTATTAATCACATGACAGAAATGAAGCACGGAAAGAAAGATTTTTTTAAGTCCGGAATTTTCGGACACGTGATGAAGGACACAGTAGTGTCTGAAAATTCCGGACTTTCCATGCTTCATTTCTGTCATATTTAATAATCAATATTTAATAAATGTTTTTCCTACTGATTATATTGGTACCCTTTCGTTTGTTCTTGTTTTATTAACTATATATATATATATATATATATATATATATATATATATATATAATTATTATTTATAAAAAATTATAACATAAGTATGTTATAAAATCACTACAAAAATAGCCATTTTGTTTCAAATTATATCTGCTCTACTCAAATTATATCTGCACTCTTTTAAGAATAGTAATTGTTGGTTATTCAATTCATTCCAATTATATACCAATTATATATATATATATATATATATATATATATATATATATATATATATATATGTGTGTGTGTGTGTGTGTGTGTGTGTGTGTGTGTGTGTGTGTGTGTGCATGTGTGCGTGTGTGTGTGTGTTTGTGTGTGTATATTCAAAGATGTTTCATTGAATAATATAGATATATGTTTATTTATTTTTATAATAAGCACTTCTTGTACTCTAATCAGTTTTTTAATGTTAAAATAAAATTTATCAAGGAAAGCACAGTAGGCACAAATATATTCGATCTCCTCCAACTAACTATGAACGTTGTGATGGTGATTTTTAAAAACACGCGTGAACACGCACTCTTATAATTATTTTATAATTTTAAATTTATCCGAAAAAAAAGAAGGTTACAAGGCTTGGGTGCTTTTGTTTTTCGAAAAAAAAATGATGCATTTCGCTTTAGAAACCAAATTAATTGTTCACTTGCCAGTAATTTACAATCGTCTGAGGAGACGCATTGGCATGTGTCAAAACACGACTGCAATTGTGTAGCGATTTTTATATGTTTTTAATATCCTAAAATAAATAATATTGCTCTACTCTGCATTGAGCCCACTTTTAAATTAAATGTACGAATGTTAGAATTGTACTCTCTTCGCTCGCAACTTAACCTAGAGAGAGAGAGAGAGAGAAAGAGAGAGAGAGAGAGAGGAGGGGGAAGAAGTTGTATCAATATATACTTGAACGTATATATGCACTTATAAGCACACATACACATATATACATATAAATAAGTATAGATGCGTTTTAACATTGCGTCACATTTTTTCCGTGTACCTAAGTAATTCAACTTATGAGCATTGCTGTTTGGCCGTTAAGCACTCTCCTTCAAATATCCAATAAATTAGATTTACTTTCCAACCATTTAACTTGTCATGCATGCCAAAATCAACACCATACTCCGTCCATAATCCTCTATTTCTACCACGAATAAGGACCACACATTCTTTCTTATTTCGGAAGAGGTGGAGAACCTTTGAAAGAAAGGTACCAGCTTTTTTTTTTTTCATTTTTATAACGCCGTATATAGAGATTACATTTTACTATATTCCAGCTATACTGATATAATTTTTTTTCTTTCTTTCTTGTTTTCTTTTTCATTCCATTTCTTTTTACGTCTTTATTCGTTTTCATTCGTTCGTTGCAGGATTAGAAGAAAAATACAGAAAAGGAAAAGAAAAGAACAGCACAAGTTCTGAATTGCCTTTTATCGTTCAGTGACACCAACGTCTCGATCCCACCTCCCGCACGGCAAAGGTTAGACAAGAAGGATCAGTGAACCGATACTATACGATACATTGTCCGGGGACCCCCAGACCTTCTTCATGCAATTCTTTAATTGAATTAGGTGCGACAACGGCACACAGAGACTAAGAGGTGGGCGCTAACCGCTGCAGTAAATATAACGGACCAGTGAGTTTGTAAGAATTTTTCTTTCTTTCTTTCTCTGTGATTTACGAAATGAATTTCCAAAGTTAAAGAAGACAGACTAGATATTGAACGAAATGCTTTGGCTGGGAAAGCATTAAAATCACTCGCGTTCAATTGGTAACTCCCAGCTAAGACGCGATTTAAAAATACTACTTATTTCTTTGGCCTCCCAAACCAGCCAATGAATAGATGCATACATGTGTACCCTAACTCGTGCGTTGACTCACACACAGACCTAAATAATACATTACATAAAAAGAACTGACTCATTCATATATATATATATATATATATATATATATATATATATATATATATATATATATATATATATATGTTTATATATATATATATATATATATATACTATAAACACTCTCTATCTATCTATGAGAAATTAATGCATATATATATATATATATATATACTTTACAATTGGAATAAAGATAACATTAGTAAATGACGATTTTCACGTACAAATTTAATTTTAAAATTTGTAGGATTTTTAAAACTGTTTATGGTATCAGTTTGTTACACTAGAAACTGATACAATAAACAGTTTAAAAATCCTGCAATTTGAAATTAAAATTCGTAAGTGAAAATGGTCATTTACTAAAGGTATCTTAATTCCAATCGTAAAGAAAATTTGCTCTAATTAATGAAAATTAACATTGAGCGCACTTTTGTGAGTCAGTTTTAACATATCTCAAATTCTAAGATGGGTTGATAGGACTCGCCGGGATTATAACAACGAATTAATATATATATATATATATATATATATATATATATATATAGCTACGCTAGCGTTCTTCCCATGAAAACCAGTAAAAAAATTTATTTTTTTAATTCAAAAAGTAATAATTCGTGCCTGATGAGTTGGTAGGACAACGAATCTTTGGTTTCACTTCGAACATAGTTACATATATATATATATATATATATATATATATATATATATATATATATATATACTTCTTTGCTCTGTCTAGCCACATTGAGCACTGTTTTGCTTATACCTTAAATTAAACTGAGTAAATATTTATTCGCTTACCTGTATATGCACGCTAACGAACGGATATACTGTTGCTAATATCTAGCTATTATTTGATTTCTCCACGTCAATACACACACACACACACACACACACACACATATATATATATATATATATATATATATATATATATATATGGGATTTCTAATTTTTTAAAACAAATTACTTAATACATAGTAGAGCATAATATTGTAATAATATTATTTAAAAATGTGTATTTATTGCGACACAGAAATTACCAAAAGTAAACTTTAAATTAAAATGAATGGTTTTGTTTCATTCTCAAGCTATGTTGTCTCAAACAATGTTGGATATTCAACATTGATTGAGAATGGAACAAAAACCTTAATTTTAATTTAACGTTTTGTTTTTGTTCCGAAACATGGTAATTTTTGTGTCGCGATGAATACATATTTTTAAATAATATTTCTCCATCCAACCGATTATGACCAAACTTGGAGCATACATTGTAGGTTCTTAGCGTAAAAAAATGATAATTTTTAAAAAAATCAATAATCGATAAAACTGACTAAAAATCAATAAATTCAGCATTTTTCCTCCGATTTCGTTCAGACTCGGTATGTAGGTTACTTGCATCATGACGAGCTTAACGATATCACATTTTTATTTCTACGCTACTGCGTTTAGTGAAAAACTGCGAAAAGTGAAAAATCGATTTCAAAACAAATCGATTTTAGCACAATTTTTAAATTAAAAACTCACTCACTTTTCAAGCAATCTAATACAAACTTCATTTTGTAGTCAACATTAAGTTGATTGTTTAACCGTCATTTAACTTGATAACTGAGTCAACCCATATAGTGAAAAACCGTGTAAATAGCGAAAAATCGCGATTTTTGTTGGTTTCTTTCTTATTTTTCGTTGATCTTCCAACCAATTTTCATCAAACTTAACATTTCATTTGTAAATGTATACACTTTTACATCTCTAATAGCACACTGACAAACTGAATATGATATATATATATATATATATATATATATATATATATATATATATATACGTAAGAATAAATAGAATAGAAGAAATAAACAAATTTCAAAACTTTGAAAATGTAAAATTAATTGAAATATATTGGGGGGGTCTATCATTTTTATATAGTCAGTTGCATAAAATTATAAATAAACCAAAATATAAAATTTTAAACCAAGCAGCAGAATCTTATCTGTTGAAAACCTTGCTGATGCGTGACAAAAGACATATATATATATATATATATATATATATATATATATATATATATATATATATATATATATATGTATCTGCCATCCTCTATCTTAAAACAACTTAAAAGGCTTTTTTGACCAACACAAGGACTGACTAAAATTAACGATAAAACAAATAGAAACTACAGATAAAGTTCACTTTCTTCAGAAACAGTCATTAACTCCTGCAGTTCACTGCTACTGACAAGCAGAGATGTTTTTCTCCTGATAATGGCCATGCATGCTGGTCGAATCTAGTCGAGGAACCTAAGTAAAATAATA